TTTTTTTTAATCGATTTTATCGATTCGTTGTTGCAGCCCTACATCAGACCAAATAAAAGGTTTAGAGGGGCTTGTCAAAGTTGTTAAAGGGGCTGCTTCTGTGGAAAAGTTTTTGCAAAAGCGACGGTAGAATCCAGCCATGCCCAGGACTCGGTGGAGCTCTCTTCTACTGGTAGGAACTGGAAAGTCAGAAATGACTTTGATTTTAGCATCAACAGGACACACCCTTCCTCCACCAACCCGTTGGCCAAGATAGAGAATGGTACATTTACCAAACTCACACTTCGAAAGATTGTCAGTGAGGCAGCTGAAAGGCGTTTGAAGACCTCAAGCAAAGTAGCAAGATGACTAGACCAGTCATTCGAATACACAACAATGTCATCTAGATATACCCGACAGTTTGGCACATCACCCAGTACTTTATTAACAAGCCTTTGAAATGTGGTCGGAGCATTACACAGCCCGAAAGGCATCGCTGTGTACTGGAGAAAACTGTCTGGTGTGACAAAAGCTGATATGTCAGAGGCTTCTTTTGTTAGGGGCACCTGCCAATATCCTTTCAGCATGTCAAGTTTAGTGACAAATGTTGCTGGTCCAATCTCATCTATACAGTCTTCAATGAGAGGCAAAGGGTGTGCATCAAGGACTGTTACAGCATTCACTTTGCGAAAGTCTGTACAGAACCTTGAACTTCCATCAGCCTTCATGTCCAACAAACATGGAGAACTCCATGGGCTTTAACTTGGAATGGCAAGTCCATTCTCAACCAGATACTCAACCTCCTTTTTTCATGATCTCCCTCTTGGTGGGGTTGACACGATATGCCCTCTGCTTTATAGGTGCAGGATTGGTAAGAACAATGTCATGAGACACCACACTAGTTTGGGTGGGAACATCCCCAAACAGACATGGGAGATTAAAAGAAATTTTTTAATGTCCTCCATTTGGCTATCTGATAAATGGGATAGATAACCGGGTAGGTTAGCCAGTATTTTACTATTGCTAAGTCTTGCAACCTGTGGAGGGTTTTTGCGTATTACCTTATCCTCCCCAGTCAACTTTGAAATGCAGGATACAGGGGAAACGGCTTCAACCTGACTCTGAGTTGGTTGATCAGTCACCCTGGAATGATGCAATTTCATCATATTAACATGACAAGGCCTGGGCTTGCGACGGCGATCTGGGGTTTGGACAATGTAGTTTGTTTCACTTAGTTTCCTTTCTACCATGTATGGTCCTGAAAACTTTGTTTCCAACGAAGAACCAGGGATGGGTAGCAGGATAAAAATTTTATCACCAGGATGAAACTCACTAGTGACCACTTTCCGGTCGTAGTGTCGTTTCATTTTGACCTGCTTTGAAGTCAAGGCATTCTGACCAAGAGAGCAAGCTGCTTTAAGGCGTTCTCTCATCTTCGAGACATAGTCTGGAATACTTTTTACAGAGCGAGAGGGTGAAACTAGCTGGTCTTTAAGGACATTTAGAGGTCCCCTAACCTCATGTCCAAACACAAGTCCTGCAGGACTGCAACCTAAAGTGTCCTGCACTGTGTCACGCACAGCAAACAACAAAAATGGGATACCTTCATCCCAGTCCCTCTCTGTTTCCATACAGTATTTTTGCAGCATTTTCTTTCATGTCTGGTGGAATCTTTCTAGTGCACCTTGGCTTTCAGGGTGGTAAGAGCTTGAGGTGACATGCTCTACCCCCCACTGTTTTAGTGCCTGGGCAAAGGTTCTAGACTTGAAGTTGGTGCCCTGGTCTGTCTGGACAACCCTAGGAAGACCAAATATGGAGAAAAACTTTACCAGAGCTTTTATGACCACGGAAGCAGTGATCCTCCTCAGGGGCACGGCTTTAGGAAACCTTGTGGAAGCACACATCATCGTCAAGATGAACTGGTTTCCACTTCTTGACTTTGGCAAAGGCCCCACACAATCCACAATCACCCTTCCAAATGGTTCACCCATTACTGGAATTGGGCACAAAGGAGCAGGAGGTATAACCTGGTTTGGCTTGCCTCCAACTTGACAAACATGGCAGGTACGACAGTAAAGTGAAACTTCAGATTTGAGACCTGGCCAAAAGAAGTGTCTCAGAAATTTGTCATAAGTTTTATTTATACCCAAATGCCCTGACAGTTGATGATCATGAGCTGATGCTAACACCTGTCTGCGGTATGGGGTTGGCACAACCTGATACGTGGCATTCCAGTCTTCCAAGTTCTCACCAGCCCAGTGTCGCAACAGGATTCCATCATTAAGCACATACGCCACCTTCTTCCCCTGGGCTTCCTGCTGAGTAAGAACAGATGAATGACATTTCAACAGAGTCATGTCCTGTTTTTGTGCCGCAATGAACTCCTCTCTAGAAGCTGGTAATTTGGACATATCTGGACCCGGAAGAGGAAAGATACTTTCAGGTTTGTTGAGTTCAGTCTCTGATCTGATAGGTTGAGACTGCCCTGTGGCAAGAAAAGAGTCAGACAAATCAAGACTGTATTTCTTTGACTGGGCCCGTGTGACCATGCAAGCAGGGAAAATACCGAGAGACATTGGTTCAAAGTCAGCTTGTGTCAGGTGTGTCCAACACCTCAGGCACAGGTAAAACCTTTCCACCAGCTAAGTCATTCCCCAGAATGAGATCAATCCCCCTTATGGGCAAGGCGGGAAGAACAGCGACCCTGCAAAAACCAATCACAACAGATGAATTAAGGTGGATTTTATACAAGGGTGCAGATACAAAAGCCATTCCTATACCTTGGACAACCACTCTTGACTGACAAGATGAGGTGACAGGCAGAGACAAAATACCCTCTTGACTGATTGTCTGGGACCCGCCTGTGTCCCTCAGTATTTTGACTTGCCGGCCGTCCTTTGGATCCCCTGTTAAAGAGACAAGACCCTGGGTAACAAAGGGTAGGAAACAGGGATCTAGTTCATCTCCATTTTTAGCAGTCTGATTGCTAGAGAGCGACACATTTTTAAGCAACCCAACACCTTTTGTCTGTGTTGCCGAAGCCTTGCTTTTTAAGGACAGGCAGTCAGCAATGAAATGGCCTTTTTTATGGCAGTAAAAGCACTCTCTTACTTCACGAGGAGAAAGTGGAGGCTGCTTAGCCTTAGCTTCTGATGGGGTGGGGTCAGGCTTTTGCTGACGGACGTTCAACACTTTATCTGCACGGGGTACAGACACAAATACATTCTTGTGTGTCAACATAAACTCATCAGCTACAATAGCTGCTTTAGAAAGAGAGGCCACCTTTTGCTCATTCAAAAAGACTACCAGTCTCTCAGGCAATGTGTTCTTAAAGTCTTCCAACATAATTAGTTGGCAAAGAGACTCAAAGTCACCTTTAACCTCACTGGCAGCATACCATTTGTCAAAAAGGAGTCCTTTCTCACGTGCAAATTCCACATAGGTCTGGGCACTAGACCTTTTATGGTTTCTGAATTTCTGCCTGTACTTTTCAAGTACAAGCTCATAAGCATGCAAGATTGGCTCTCTCAGTACATCATATTTCATGCTGTCCTCTGTTGACAGAGATGAAACAACCTCCTGTGCTTTACCCATGAGCTTGCACTGCAGTACCACAGCCCACATCTCCTTTGGCCACTCTAGTGCTACAGCAATCCTCTCAAATGCATTAAAGTAAGAGTCCAATTCTGACTCCTTAAACACAGGAACCAAAGCAATGTTCTTGCTGACATCAAACTATTTCTATCCAGCACCACCTGGAGGAGAATCAGAGTAGACAGATGAACGAGGTGGTGATTTGTCATGTTAAAGCCTCCTAGCCTTAACCTCAAGCTGTTTCAGTTTAACCTCTTTTTCAGCTTCAATCTCCAACTTACGTATTTTGAGCTTGAAATCAAACTCAGCTTTTCTCACCAACTCGCGCTCCTAAGCCTCCAACTGCAGGCGAGCTAGCCGAACCTTGAGTCTAACATTACCACTGAAGCCACTGAACTCTGGTTGTATGTGTCTGAAGTTGTATTGGGTGTCCTTGGTTCTACCAATTCCTTTGGAGGAGTGGCCAATGCAGGAGCTCCTTTATTTTTCGAAGGATGGAGTCCTAGATCAACAAAAGAGTCATCACACACATTTACATCCATTTTGCTTGAGTCCGTGAGGACTTTAATCTCAACCAGTTTTCGAACAACAGTGTTCTTGATTTCAGCTTTCGAAAAATGTTTTTTCACCGGAATGTCAAAATGTTCAGCCAGACCTAACAAGTCATCCTTACGAAACAGTTCCAGCGTTGCATGGCTAGGAGCCTGTACAAACTCCTCAAAGCTAAAGCTCATGTCTAAACAAACACAAGGTTCTCCAGAATTATTGTGGATGTCAACAGCTCAGGGAAAAAGTGGCCATCCCGGACAAGCAACCAAGTCACATATCAGATTCTTGTTTTGTTTTATGGAGTTACTAATAAATCGAATTCTTACCAAATTCAGTTGAGACATATTTTCCATCCACAAAGGCAAAAATCATGTCCTTTTGCTCATTTTTCTATTAGAAATTAGAGGGTATTCCAGATAAAACAAATGGAAACATTTTGCTTCAGCCTTCTGCCTCTGGTTGACATGTTGTTTTTATACACGTCTCTGCATTTCAAATAGTTTAAAAGAAACAATTGGCCTAATCATTATTTTATTGTCATTTTGTACTATATCTTAATGCTTTAGACTTGTTTAGACTATTTAGAGTTGCCATAGTGATGCACAGTTGTTTCACTACGACTGAGTCATCATATAGGAGGAGCTTGAGCTGCATGAATCTTTGTCATAATAATAATAAGTTTGTCACAGAACTTTAGTGTGGATTAGTTTTTTACTTTAGCTTTGTGTTTGTCTTTCCAGACCGCCTTCAGGATTATGTTGGAAAAGAGGAGAATTTCTCTGACCAGCAGCTCTGTGGACAGGAGAGGAATTCCAGTTTCGATCAAGAGGAACCAGAAGCTCTTCAGATAAAAGAAGAACAGCAAAAACCAGAATATCTCTGTACAAAAGAGGAAACCGTGGAACTATCCATAACTGAGCATGATGAACAGTTTGTTCTAAAGCGGGGGACTGTAGTTACAGGAGAAAAACCTTTCCCATGTTTAACATATGGAGAAAACTTTGTAAGAAACGAATATTTTAGGGTTCACACTCACACAGGTCAGATGATTTATGAATGTCTGTCCTGTAGAAAAATGTTCACAAAGAAATCTAATCTTGATAGACACATCCGAATTCATACAGGTGAGAAGCCTTTCTCCTGTACTATTTGTGACAAGAATTTCACTGAAAAAAGTAGTTTGATTAAACACATCAGAATTCATACAGGTGAGAAGCCTTTCTCCTGTACCATTTGTAACAAGAATTTCACTCAAAAGAGTAGTTTGAGTTATCACATGAGAATTCATACAGATGAGAACCCTTTTTCCTGTTCAATTTGTAACAAGAATTTTACTCAAAAGAGTAGATTGACTTCTCACATGAGAATTCACACAGGTGAGATACCTTTTGAATGTCTATCCTGTGGGAAAGGCTTCACCTCTAAATCTGATCTTAAGAGACACACCAGACTTCACACAGATGAGAAGCCTTTTTCTTGTACAATTTGTAACAAGAATTTTACTCAAAAGAGTAATTTGACTTCTCACATTAAAATTCACACAGGTGAAAAGGCTTTTTCCTGTACAATTTGTAACAAGAATTTTACTCAAAAGAGTAGTTTGACTTCTCACATTAAAATTCACACAGGTGAAAAGGCTTTTTCCTGTACAATTTGTAACAAGAATTTTACTCAAAAGAATAGTTTGACTTCTCACATGAGAATTCACACTGGTGAGAAACCTTTTGAATGTCTATCCTGTGGGAAAGGCTTCACCTCTAAGTCTGATCTTGATAGACACATCAGAATTCACACAGGTGAAAAGCCGTTTGTCTGCACCAATTGTAACAAGAGTTTTTCTCAAAAGAGTAGTTTGACTTCTCACATGAGAATTCACACTGGTGAGAAGCCTTTTGAATGTCTATCATGTGAAAAAGGCTTCACCTCTAAGTCTGATCTTGATAGACATATCAGAAGTCACACAGGTGAGAAACCTTTTGGCTGTACCATTTGTAACAAGAATTTTACTGAAAAAAGTCATTTGACTACTCACGTTAGAATTCACACTGGTGAGAAGCCCTTTTCCTGCATGATTTGTGGCAAGAGTTTTACTCTAAAAAGTATTTTGACTAAACACATGAGAATTCACACAGGTGAGCAGCTGGTTTCCTGAATGAATTTTGCTCAAGGTTTTAAATGAGGAGGTAATTTGAGTATTCGGATGACATTTATATATGCATGATGTAAAATGGTTTATATATATTTTTTGAATATTTGTTTCACATTAGTCACAGCAGTTGGACGACACAGGAATGAGCATTATGTGTGTTTTCCATGTTTGGCTAGTAATAAAATGTCCATCTTGAAACTCCTTCACGTCTTTACATGAGAGATCCATGGGTTAATGGTCTTTTTGGAGCAAAGTTTTGAGAAAGCCATTAATTAACAGCTCTGTTTACATGGAAACTAGAACAGATAAGGTGTTATATTGTGAACCAGGTAAATATTCGGGTCCTAGACGAATATGTGTGAACATTTGAAGGTTTATTATTTTGTGGTTAAGTAATTTATATTTAAATGGTCAAACAATTAAATTTGCCCTAACAAAAACAAAGATTCACAATTTCTTACTTTTTCTGTAATTTAGGCAATAAACATAATAAAGCGCAACAACAACAACATATTGGTTAAAGATGAAGCAAGTTTGCTTTCCATACTACAAGTAATGGAGAAGTTATAGATGTTTAAATTGAAAACAAGCCAGACAGACCCATACTGTGCCGTTTTGGCATGGTGTGGCAGAACTTTTTCTGAATGAATTTTTCAGAAAAAAAGAGATATTTGGAAACTTTTAGCTGAATGATAAGGTATTATATGGATATATTCCAGAAACAGACATCCTCAGAATAAAAAATATAAGCAAAGCTAGGACAGTTTTAATGTGCTTTGCTCAGTTTTGCTGATGTTTTTGGAGGATTTTCTAAGAGATCAGCTGCAAATGATCAGAGTTTAGCTAATTCAGTGTCTTGTTGGCTTTCATTAGCAATGCATCAATCAGCCCTGCTACGTGTGTTGTTGAAACCAGGCCCACCAACACTCCAACTGTTTTTGGCCCAGTGTTAGAGCTATGCTTAATGGATATTAGAATGAAGTAGATCATCTATAGAGGAGTCTCACATGAAGATTTGGGACATATATAAGTGTGTGTCAGTCTGAGAGTTAGTCAGCTACAAGCTAATTAATGTTGCAAAGTAGCTCCAGCCACCTTGAAAGGGGGTGCTGGGATTATGGGGTTAAACTACGGGACATCAAAGAACTCAGTTTAGACGCTGGGGTCTGTAGTTCAGGTAAATTAAAGTCCTAAAATGATCAAACATGTTTGTTTAAAAAGATAAACAGGATTGATGATGTTGATGTTATTTTTACTGGTCAGTTTGAACCTGCTTTAACTTGGTAAAAAGCCTTTGTCTTAATAATGTATTAAAGAAATCTGACTCTCCTCTAGAAGTGTAAAGTTTCTGCTTTTTAAAGATTTTTTTAAAATATAATTTTCCTTTGAACTAATTTTATTAGTTTTGTTCTTGATTCTGTAGATGTTCTATTTACCTGCTATGATTGGTAACTCATCTATTTTATACAACTGATTTTATGGATTATATTCTGCTGTGGATGTTTTTTTAACTATTGTAGTCATTTCAAAATTGATAAACAGAGCAGAAATAAAAACCTCCATGGATTATAAAAAAAAAAAAAAAAATCTTTATATGGTTTCATATGAAATAGAAACAATCTTCTTCCATATTTCCTCAAACTAAAGCTCCGATATCATTTTTTTTTTTTTTTATGGCATTCAACTTCCTTCTGGATGACCGGAGAAATAATATTAGGAAATATTGTAGGAATGTAGTCTGGACTGAGTTGATTTAGGCTATTTGCACCTGATTGACAAATGTTTCAGTTGATATATCTAGGTGTATCCAGTGCCCCTACAACCAAGCAACTAGAGGAGTGAATGGTCTAACTATGTGACAGTGTGGGTTCCTGTCACTATGCCTTCAGGTGATCATGCTTCCTATCTACTTGGCAACAGGGTTATCCCTTTGTCTGGTAAGCCCGCATGACTTTCACTGGAATTTGTTACTCACCTCATCAAGATAATGAATTTGGACATAGGGAACCAGTATCCCCATGCATATCTCAAACATATCCATGGGTTTTGAAGATGACAGTTTTGCTCTGCAGCTGACTTTGCTCTACAACACCTCCCCCCAAGACGGTATCACAAAACACTCCTACGGAGGTCTACCTTTGCCAGAAAACATCAAACCACACAGAATTTCTTTTTCCTTTTCTTTGAAGCTTTGAGAGGTTCACATCAGAGAGACATCATCATTGCCTCATGTCCAGGGAACAGTCGCTGCAAACTGACCAGAGGCTAAGTCATGATGGTTGACATTCAGCACCGAATTGCTGCAAAACAGACTGTGACATTTCTTATAGAGTTTTAAGAACTTTTCTATGCTTAAAGGGAGAAAGAGAAAGAAGGAAACCATTCCCCTAATGTGTGGCACATGGAACAAAAGATGGCACCCCTGCTTTGAGCCATGCTAAGCTGCTAAATGCCGGAGAAAACTCAAGCTTCTCAAAACAGATATGAACATAGGTACAGGTCTAGTACGAGTCAGGGAGAGTTTCTACATAATGGTAAATGGCCTGTAGTTATATAGTGCTTTTTTTCAAGTCACGAGACTTGACCAAAGCGCTTTAACTACATTCACTCATTCACCCATTCACACACACACTCACACACTGATGGTGGCAAGCTACATTGTAGCCACAGCTGCCCTGGGGCTCACTGACAGAAGCGGGGCTGCCGTACACTGGTGCCACCGGGCCCTCTGACCACCATCAGTAGACAATGCAGGTGAAATGTTTTGCCCAAGGACACAAGACACTGAAAGTCTGCTTGAACCGTCAATCCTTCGATTTCAGGGCAAACTCTTACATCCGACGCCACTGTTTCTTTAATGATGTTTGATCATTTTATGTTTATACTGCTGAGTGAAGACAAAGCTAACAAGATGGACTACATGGTAGTCTATGCTAACATGTTTGGAGCTGTTGTTTAATGGGGTAAAAACAATATTTGTGTCTCTAAGGGGTTAAACACTTTTGCAGTCACGTGTTTGCTCATATGCTTGTTACATTTTGATTACCAAGTTATGACCAAAAGTCCTTTATTGGGAATCCTTACATCCGCTGTCTCACTCCAAGAAGGTAACAAATCAATTAACTAAAGGTTATTGGTTTCTGGTTAAGCTAATAATTTATTAAAACATTATTTAACCAAATGTTGTTTTATTCATCTGTTTTATTTGCCTGTGAATTGGTTTGAAAACGTTCCAATTGCTCTTAATTAGTTAATGCTAATTTGATCAAATTTCAGGATAGATCTTTGTTCTCAAGCACAAAATCCAGACTAAGCTGTGAAAACATTGCACCCTCACTGATTAGGGGTTTTAACCATGTGTTTCCTTTGTGTATATAGTAGCTTAGTTGAGTTTAATTAGTACTGTCAACAGTTTTTAACTGAAAGATGTTGGACTTGGAGCTGAATGATTTTTATGAATAAACTTATATTTTGAATTGAAGTTGTGGTGAATTTATTAAATATATGTGCAGAATTATCTATTTGACCATGATTTAAACTTGATTTATACTTTCATTTGTTGTTCTAACACACAGCCTGTAGGATGTGTGTTCATAAACAATATATGACAGTCCGAATATTCTCTGAGTAAATAACTTATTTACTATCCCTACTGGGGTGGGTAACAAATATGTTAAGGTTGCATAACACTTGCCACATTCTGGCATTGCTTGTGCCATGTGCAATACCTGGAAATGGCACATATATTCGTAAATGGTTGTGGCAGCCTGCATGGAGCTTGTGGAAAGGAAGGATCTGATCCCAAATACTTCTGGGTGAAAGTCATGCACAATTTCCAGTCAGTCAAAGCCAAGCAGCCAGTGTGCATTATCAATCGGAGGGATAGTTACATGACCCTATACTGTCACAAGTACAAATACCACAGCTGCTCTAAAACTATACAACAATTAGGGGGCAAATTAAAACCTCTTATGGTAGGACTTAAATGAAGTAAATAATGGCAATTTCCTCAACTAAAAAAACTCAAAAGTCAGAAACTGGGAGATTTACAACATAAGCTATGAGGTTAACCCCTAGAACCCTATGGACCAACCGGTGGGTCCAGCTGCTACGTGACCTCGTAATTTT